TATAAATAATTAATATTAATTTCTATATTATATATTTATAACAAAAAAATAACCTCAAATATTAAGAAAAACCTTACCATAAATGAGAAATGACATTTGACTGTTCTATACTTTTCAAATGAATAGTCGAACCGAGTCTAAGGTTTAATAGTTCGCCCCAAACCTCAGGGATTGGAGTGAGGCGATGTTTCAGTTCGTCAGGTTGTCTTTTGCCTACCCATGGATTCAGGAGCAGTTCGAAAGTTCTTCCAATTGCTAATAAATAACTCATACTAATTTTATAATCATTACTCTATCAAAAAAAAAAAAATAATAATCCTTTTTCTTGTGCGTACTCATTCATCAAACCTCATTCTTCTTGCCTCTCCTCTGAAAATCTTAAACATAAAGAAAAAAAATTAATCTATAACTAAAACCTCTTCAAAAGTATTAGATAAATCTTAAAATTAAAACATAATCATTTTAAAAAATGATTTTTAAGCAAGTATTTTTAAAATACAACCATCAACAAAATATGGAGATAAAACACTACTAAAGTGATCATCCCGTTAATTAATACATTTAAATAAATTAATTTTACTTGAATAATATCTTGAATTTTAAATTTAATTTATAAAATAATATTTATTAAATAGTAAATTTAGTTCTTGAGGGGTTTGAAGTGCATCTTATTCTCTGAATTGTTTATCCATTTTATCAAAAATAAGAAATCATTTTTGTGCCAATCAGCTAACTAATAATTTATTTTCAGTAGATATATATGTAGGTGGATTTAGGAAAGGCAGAGAAATTTTTTTTTTTTTTTTCATGTTAACCAATTATGTTATCAAGATTAATATATATATACAGTGCTTATCAGCCTTATCTTTTAAGGATTAAGAAGAAAATTATTTTAAAATTATATGATTTCAATAAATTTTTATTGAAAAAGATTAACTGCTTTATTTTTAAAGTATACATTAAGATAATTTTTATCATTTTTTTTCTCTTAATTTTTTAAAAATAAGATAAATAAACACTTACTTACTATATATATATATATAATAGTTAAGCCTCGGAAAAGGTTCTTGAGCTAAGAATTCCACGTCCCGGAGCCGATGGCTAGGATCCCTGGATTCTAACCCAAGGGCAAGAAAGAAAAAATAAATAAATAAATAAAACAAACTTGCAGGTTTTTTTTTTTCTTTTAATGTTAAGCCAAAATGTGAAATTCAACGCTCAAGTACGTACTTCAGCTTTGCTGATTGTAGAAGCATTCGTTGGATGCCGGAATTCAATCCGCGGAGAAAAAGAACAATGGATTATTTGGGAATTGATTTCAGCTGCGCCATCGGATCTCTACGACACGGCAAGTTCCCGGAGAAAGACTGCTTACTTCCCCTCATCTCCAAACTCCTCGGCTATTGCATCGTCGCCGCGTCCACCACCGTCAAACTCCCCCAGGTGCGCTGCTCATCCTCTCTTTCTCTCCGATCTCACTACCGTAGTAAAGTTTTCTTTTGTTTTCACTCTATGATTCATCATTAGAAGCAAATTCGTGTATTATGGTTCAGACTTTTTTTTTTCCCAGTTATGTTTTTGGGATTGGGAATGTTCTTGCTGTTCTTAATCAGAGTTTATTTTACATTTTATTGAATGTTGAGCTGCATGTTGTGTGATGATTTTATGCCGTTGCAGATCCTAAAGATTTTGAAGCATAGAAGTGTTAGAGGACTCAGTGTTGTGGCCTTTGAGCTTGAAGTGGTTGGTTATACCATTGCCTTGGCATATTGCCTTCACAAAGGACTGCCCTTTTCAGCATATGGGGAATTGGCATTTCTTTTTATCCAAGGTATCCTCAAGACTTACCATGTATCTAACACATTTGTTTAGAATGAAGTCTTAAAACTGAGAAGAATTAATAGATACCCATGTCCTGATTCTCTCTAGTAATCGAGGTATCAAAACCAACAGTTTAGTTTAGCTGAATTGTTCATGATACAAGGAAGATATTTTTCACTGTCATGAATTCTTCATGGGTTAGATGGGTGATTTTATATCCTTAAAGATCTGACAAAATTTTTTTTTTCTTTCCTTTTGTTACCTGTTACAGCTATAATTTTAGTTGCTATAATCTACTATTTTTCTCAAGATGTGGGTACCATGACATGGATCAGGACATTACTGTATCCTTTATTCCCGTTGTATTATGATAATTTTTCTTTATTTTTCTGTATGAGAGAGAGAGAGAGAGAGAAAGAAAATGGGAAAAAGGGAGATCTTCTGAAGTTGCAAGCTGCAGGAACGTGGTATATATATATTCCTTAACATGGATGGTAATTCAGATTTTGTGCTGTGGCACCAACTGTATTAGCTGGTCAAATTGATCCTGTCCTTTTTGAAGCTCTATATGTAAGTGGCCTATATACTAGTGTTTGATCTCAAGTCCATATGCCAATATTGTTAGCTTTTTATTGCCTTGCAACTTGAATCTTCCATGTTTCTTTTTTCTGACCTCACTTTTGGGATTATGATATGCTGAGATAAATGTCAAATGTTTCTTTCAATTATTTATCCTTTTGTATAGCCAAGAATTATTTCATGTGGAAACTGTCTGTTGCAGGCATCCCAACATGCGATTTTTTTCTTGGCCAAGGTTCCTCAAATATGGGAAAACTTTAAAGTAAGTTACTACTTGTTTCTCTAAGTTAGCGCGTGCAATTGTTTTTTTTTACTTGGTAATACTACTTTACCTACTAGCATATATAGCAATTTTCTTAGGATGCTGAGAAGATTTAAGGATATGATTAGTAATTTTCCGGAAGAGAGTAAATAGTTCTTTTGTTGTTCTGATTGCTCTCTGGTTACAATTGTTCTTTCCTCTGGTCTTTTGAGATAAGTTTGAAACATGTTCTCAACTAATCCTTTAATGATACATTGATGAACAACTATCCTTCGAGCAGAGCAAAAGCACAGGGGAGCTTAGCTTCTTAACATTCTTCATAAATTTCGGTGGTGCTATGGGTGAGTTCATTTTATAATAGAGCTCATCTTCAGTAGATACCTGATGCAATTTTGTTGGTTCCTTGTTTATTTGTGTGTTTGATTACCTTGTAAACTTGTGAAAAGTTTATTTTATGTTTTAATGTTTGACTTGCACTTGCAGTGAGAGTTTTCACCAGCATCCAGGAAAAGGCACCAACAAGTGGTATCCTTGTCTCTTCTATTTCTTCTTCTATTTTTTAAGGTCTTTTCGGTTGTAGAATTTTTGCAGAGTACATGCCAATAGCTGTTGCATTCCATTTCTAAACTAAACAACTTTTACCAATCCTCTTTTATATATTTATTACACTAGCATAGTTGAGAAACATCAGTTACACCAATATTCCTCCATTGCTTCAGTTTTTCTGTTTTCTTCCAAAGGAATCTCTCTCAAACACCCCCCCTGTTCTTTTGCCTTTATAGTAAATACATATTAATCAATATTAATTATTATGAGATTGTTGAGGTTAACATGCTACGTTTCTCAATTCTGAGTCAATATTTACCATTTAGATGTCCAAGCAATTTGATATCCTTGACTCCTTTGAAGTTACATTGGGCTCTGTACTTAGTGTTTTGACAAACGGCACAATCCTGAGTCAAATTATCATATACCAAAGGCCGTGTGCCCAGAAGGAAAAGAAAGAGGATTAAACACAAACTAGAAGTCATCTCTGGATAGCTAAAGTCTCATTCTTAGCACAATATTCAGATGCTGCAGCTGGTGAGCAAGTGTGGCAAAACAGTATATGTTTGTATTCAGTTCCTCGATGTTTCAATGGGATAGCATTAGCAGTAGTCACGATACAGAAAGGATACCTGACACTCTTAATTTAATGTTTCATGATGCAGATTAGGGTTGAGAGAAAGCAATTAAATAGCTCAAGATTGTCTGTTCGATATTCCTTTTTAATATATATGTTTCATTCACTTGTATTTTCGTGTCAGTCTGATCTTTTGAATTGCATTATCATAATCTGGTGATCTCTTAAGAAGGCACTCAAGAATTAAGATATTCTGGATAATTGAAGGTCGATGAGAAGTCTGTTCTTGCAGACGGTGGGAGTATTTCCTTTTTGTTATTATCTAGTGTCTTCTTTGTACTGACGGTTCTTGTATTCCTTCGGGATACGGGGGTGATTGCATCGCCAAAATCTTATGGCCGGAGCTGGCGATGAACCAAGATGATCCCTGCAACTCCAGACATACCAAAATATAAATGAAAATCACTTTGTTTTCGATCCTTTTGATCCATCTTGGCTTGGTTTGGGAAGGTGCAGACTACAGAGTAAGTGGCTCGTGATCATTGAGCTAGGCTTTGTTCAGAATAGAGAAAGAATGTGCATGGGGGGGCAAGGAAGATGAAAGGCAGAGTCATTAAAATATGAATTATGTGATTTAAAAAACAAAAAAAAGGATAATGATTTCGTGAATTATCTATCACACTCAAATTCAGAAAACCTAAGTGGAAATAGTCCAAATTCAATTTCTCAAACTTCTTGTTCCCTGCCTCAGGTTTCACTTTCAATGGGAAGGAAATGTGCGCCTGTCTCTTATCATCTCAAAATAAAAATAAAAATAAAAATAAAAATTGTGGTGAATTGTGGACGCATGAAGCAGAAAATAGACACCATTGAGCGTTTTTTGGTTTCCTTCTACACGAGATAGTATTGATCAACAAAGTATAACAATTGAGATAATCTAGGATGGCATAATATTGTGTTTTTATCAGAAGAATCTGATGTTAAGTTTCCACCATGCTTCATCCAGCTCACGGGGCAACCTGGATTAACAAAAAGATTCTAGAAGAAACCAGACTAGTTGCATGCTGGCATTCTAGATTAACACACCAATCGCATTTAGAAATATAACACTAACAATTGAACAACAAAAGCAGAAATAAGTTAACGATTAACACAACGACAACAGCAGGAAATAACTTTACCAATTGACAAGTAGCCAGTCATTTAAAACACAAACAAACCTGTAGCTAACCTGCCCTGACTTAAGAAGGAGCTAATGAACCAGCTGATGCCCAAAATTCTAGCCTTCCAACCTGATGAATTTGAACTGCAGTTACATACCTAAAAGAAGAGTTAATCAGTTGTGCGGAAGCAGAAAAGCGTGCGATCAGTGTTTCTTGACATACCTGGCTTGTGAAGTGAGTCCAGATGAAATAGCCCAACAAAGTCTTCAGTGCCAAAAGATGGGTAATGTTTTCTGGTCAGCTGTAATTACTAACCACATGGAAAGACAATGATATGAAGCATCGAGCATATAGCGACCAAGAAGTTGAAATATCTTTTCCAGGCCACAACCCAGATATTAGCATAGCTATAATAGTTTTACCAAATACTAATAATGAACACAATATTTCCAGCCTAGATGCTCTATGTGGGTGCATGTCTCCCCATTAATATGATCAAGTAGATTCTCTAGGATTGGTGCTAAAAGTTGTAAATAAGGCGCATGGCTCTGAGACTCTTAGGCAAATGGCTGAATCAAAATTTCTTGGATACAAAACCTCTCCATAAAGAATGGCAACGTATAGATCACTGCCTCCTCAATTACCATGGCTAGACCTAACAGGTATCTATAGAGTGAGTAACAAATACACCAAAAATGGAAAACTTAATCAATACCCTACACACCATGTTAATGCATATTTCCTTGATATGGTACCATAAATTCCCCTATCCTTATATCGGTAAGGGAACAGAAAAGAATCAGGAGCCAATATTTCAAGAATTTAAAGTAAATATACCAAGGTATCACTCTCTCAAATTCCATTAAGATGTTCTATTTATAAAAAGGAAAGAAAGAGAGCTTGCTGAATAAAGAAACAGAAACTAAACACAAAATATAAAGGAACCCGCTTTCTGCAGTGAAGATTCAATTCAAAAGGCAATCAACAGCACACAACATTCAATCGAACACAAGAAAACAGAATCAGATGCTACAACTGCAACATAAAATAATGAAAATAGTGCTGGACCAAGAGTTTCTTTTGCTTTGCGACTTTCTTACTTAATGGAGATGTATTAAGATTCGTGTACTAATAAAT